TGGAACAAAAAAGATACATAACCCAACAAGATAGGCCTAACCAGTAATGAAGCTAGTCAGTCTCTCCCTGTTCTATGTTGTTATTGCCCTATCAGGGGTAAATAAATAAGAACAAGGCCTCTCTCCTTGCTTGAAAACATAATGCAGATTCAGAAGGACAGAAGTGATTCAATAGATACTTGCCCCCTTCATATTTTAGTTGCTGAGGGATGGTGGTTTCAAAGTCATTAATGATGACAGCCAAAGATATTGCAGTTTCTAGACAACTTACTGTAGACCAGTGGTTGACCTCCAGGTCTTTTCAGGATAGGGTGGTGGACTATTTTTTTTTCTCCTGTGTGCCAGAGACAGGTACCATCTTTGTGCCATGCTTTCTTCAAAACTCACTATGAATCACCCACTGACGGCTTAGATAATACTACTCTATCCACTGATGACCTACTACTTCAGTGGTTCCCAACCTTTGGTCCTCCAAGTGTTTTGGACTTCAACTCCCAGAAATCCCAGCCAGCTTACCAAATTTTAGGAATTGTTGGTCCAAAACACCTGGAGGACCAAATGTTTGGAACCACCGCACTACTTGAATACCACTACTCCAGCTGTTTTGGAGACAAGAATGGAACTCTTAATTCTTTTGGCTTTGAATTACTTCATAGTATTTCTCATCACATTCTGGTTTGAGAAATTACATGTCTATCAAATGTATCCGGAAAACTCATCACTGTTGAATTCTCTCCCTCAGAATAATTCGGGAAACTGAAATAAGAAGTTAGTTTTATCTCCTAGAGAAGATAACAATAAAATCTATCCCTGGGTGCTAGTTTTACTTTTAGAAAACCATAACCAGCTTTCTAAAATATGACATGTTAGATGATCCTCACTGTAAAGCAAGTGCATTTACAGGTTCTTGATGTGACTGCTTCTATGCAGAATCTTTCTTTGTATGAGCATTTTGGGTCAGGCTGTGAATTCTTTTCCCCCTTTCCCCTTCCCACTAAAATCATTGAAATATATTCTGTCGGTTTCACATCAGAGGTGTAAATGGATTTCTTGAAAGTTTTTCTTCCGAATGGTAAAAGGCAATCACTTTACAGGTTTGACTCCATTACGGCCAGCATCGTAAAGCTCAACATACTCCCCTAACTTTGTGGATACGCGGCTGTTCAGTGACCTTGCCTCAGCAAGGGCATGCGCTCAGTTTGGGCAAAGAAGATTTGCTCAGCTGCAATCTGTCTATTTCTTTATATGCTGTGTATTTTATGGCAGCACTTGCCCAAGAAGCACAGTAGAGGGAAGAGCAGTCAAGTTTTGTAATTTTAGAATGGATTTGTTTCTTCTGCAATGGTATTTGTGCGTTCATGATAGAAATGAGAGATGATCCCTTTCATTTCCTGAAACTAGCCTTGTAATGTCTTGGCTCACGTACTATATAGATATCTTCATTTGCATTGGAATTCAAGCATATCATACTTTAATAGAAAGATTGTGGGAAAGTGGGATAATTCTGGATAATTCTTATGGTGTTTTTCAGCTCCTTACAAAACAGACAACACCATAACTTAGAAGTAGTAACCTTCTCTTGAGCTTAACAACATACTTGTGAAATAACTAATCACATGCAATGTAATTACCTTTTTAGTATAGCAAAAGTAGTGTTTACTAAAGGAATGTTTTAGGGACATTTCAGAAACATTACGCAGGATCTTTAGGGGCATTTCAATACACATTGTCCTTTTTTCAAAAAATCAAAAACAAACTCACTGATATTAATTAAACCTAATAACTCACTGATATTAGGTTTACTTTGATGTTAGGTTTTAAACTCTGCTTTCATATGTGGGATCTCTCTGGGATTTTATGTCATTGTCTGTCTGTTTTATGAAGGCATTGAATGTATGCTGCTGTATGTTGGAATCTGTCCTGAATCCCTGTGGAGAGATAGGGCGGATGAGAAATAAAGTTTATTATTATTATTATTATTATTATTATTATTATTATTATTCTTAAGTTATTCTTAAAGTAATATTCAATGTTACTCTATGTTACAGAAAGTTGTCTGTATTTTAAGTGACCAGTTTGCCATTCAAATAATTGTGTGTAACACAATAGAACTTCAATTTCAGAAAATAATTTGATCCTATCAATGTTGATTTTAAAACGTCTTTGAAATCAATAAACATTTCAAAATCTGGCAAAGTGCATCTTTAGTGAAGTTGGATCGGTCACTTATCTACACAAGGGAAAAGGCCTTTTCAAGTGACCAACAAGGATTCATCAAGCTCCTTCTGAACTAGTCTCTGGAAAAGTTTTTTTTAATTTTCATTGGCCTGTATTAAAATTATCAGAATGCTGGTCTTATTCTCATTATTGTTTTTTATTTTCTTGCATCCTTAATGTTTCTGTTACCTTTTATGCAGGATTAAGAGGGCTTTGCTCTAAAAAAAAGTCATCCTAAGCATTTAATGTAAATAAAATAAATACTCAACATGAAATATATTCTTCACAATCTAGCATTTCCAAAAAAAATCCATAATGAGAAACACAACTTCTCTTTGCTGAGCACTGGATTAATATATTGATTATCCTGAAATAGAGAGCCATATTCTAGAGAAAGAGAATAGAATCTCCCTGAAAAGTCTAGATTCCAACAGACCTTCATAGTTCAAGTGATTCTCTCCTAAAATAAACCTAAAATCAATTGAAAGCACCCATCTAGAGTGGTGTAAGGAATTCAGAATTCTGCTTTCTTTATTTGACTTGATCCATTCCAAAAGTCCAAAAGCTAATAACCTGTATTCTATACAGGCAGTCCCCAAGTTACAAACATCCAACTTATAAATGACTCATAGTTAAGAATGGGGGTGAGACAACAGGAAGTAAGAGAAATCTGTTCCTAGAAAGGGAAATACACTCCCAGAAGAGTTGTCATGATGAAAAGGTGTCTCCACTGAAACTTTCTCAGCAATCCTTGTTTCCACAACAAGCCAATTTTTCAAACTCCAATTCTCACAGGGATAGAAAGTGAGGTGTTAATCCTTCCCTATCCTATCCAAAGCTTATATACAAATCTATCTGTCTGTCTGTCTGTCTGTCTATATCATTGGTACCCAACCTGTGGTCCATGGACCACCATGGTCTGCAAGAATGAAAATACGGTCCGTGGCCTCATTATTACTACAGTGTTGCCTCAAAAACTCCTGACAATGAGAGTGACTGGTCTCACAAAACCCTCTTATAGTGCAAAGGCAACAGGGATGTCAGGAGGGGAGAGACTAACTGCCCATGAAAGATTACTACTACCACATCAATTCTAGATTATTAAATATGGCTTTCTGTGGGTGAGCAGTTGGTGACTACTGGATGGCATATGTCTTGTATCAGAAAGTAGAGCTGATGTGGTCTGTCCAATGCAATTTTCTGAATTAGCACCCCAGATAACTATACCGAATCTAAAGTTGACCAAAAACTGATTTGTAACCCTTTGTTGACCAAAAACTGGTTTGTAACTAATGCTGGAGAGTGGTCCCTGGTCAATGTGGTCCATGGACAAGTGGTCTGTTGTCAAGTGGTCCTTGGTAAAAAATAATAATATTGGGAACCACTGAGAGAGAGAGAGAGAGAGAGAGAGAGAGAGAGAGAGAGAGAGAGATCAATCAATCACTGAAGTTACACTTTAAAATTTACCTGTTCTGACTTACAAACAAATCCAACTTAAGAACAAACTTACAGAACCTTTTTTCTTGTAACTTGGGGACTGCCTGTGTATGCTTCTTGCTTCATCCTTTACCAGCAATCCTGCGAACAAAGAAAATAAATATTAAACAGAGTGGCAAGTCTCAGTAACCCATAGAAAAATGGTTGAGCTGTAATTTAAACCCAGATCAGAGAATGTGGACCACTTAGAATATTCTTCTAGATAAACATTTTAAAGAAAAAGTAAAGAATTGCCATTCTGTAATTTAGATATTATGCTTTACTAATATGGTATTGAGTGATAGATACACTACAAACTTAGTTTTGAATCAAAGGGCTATGTAGGGCTTGTGAATTAATATTCACTGAGTAGCAGACTGCTTTTATTAATTTATTATTAGGTATTGAAGTATGAAGCAGTGGGTGAAGTGAGAATTTCCATTTGCTGTTGTGGAGATGATGCTTGTCATGTTATGTCCCAGTCCTAAAACCTCCTCTTAAGCTTTCCATCATTAGACTTAAAAATTGTGTCTTATGCCCAACAATCAGCCTTAAGCCTCTTTGCTGTCACTGAAGAAAACAAATCTTTTGCCTTCCTTTGCCTGGGGGATGTGGAGAGCTGAAGTGGTCCTGTGTGACTAAATTAGATGAAAGACTTGCCTTCCCACCACGGAGACACGGAGTCTAATCAAGTGAAATGAGTTTTGAGATCTCAACTCACTTCCTAGGGGATATCAGTTTACATTACAAAATCACACGACACCTAATTCATCACGGTTGATGCAGACTTTACTCAGGAGAGGGCCACAAGTCAGACAATATGATAGTAAGCCACCTGTCCCCTTTGTGGCAGGGGCTGTTTATTAAGACAGTGGAAGGTGTTGGTGGAAGAAGGTCTACAAGGCATTGAGCCTGCATATTTATGGAGTACATGTAAAGGGGAAGGGAGTTGTCAAAGTCAGAAGTGGAATGATGGATCGCGAAGAGATTTAATTTCAGTGGATACAGATCATTCCTCAGTCCTTAACCCACAAATGAGTTTCCTTCTTAACAAGGATTTTAAAGAAAGCATTACTTATATCTAGATTATGAATCTGGCAACCACCAGATTATTGTTCATTAAAGTTCATGCTATAATAAATGTCACATATCTCTTTATTTTCATTGACGTAATAATACATTGGTTTCTCAAGAAGGTGCCCAAATGTTTAGTAGTAGAATTTCTGATTCCTTTATGCAACAAAGTCTGATATGACTAAAATAAAATTGTGTTTTCTACACTAATAATTGTCTCCTATTTCTTTCAGGGCATTGTTATAACTCCATTGCTCCTGCTGCTTTTTGTGAGTATCATAATGCTGATGTGATAATGATATAGTACTAGCGGTAGCAGATAGTGAAATATTAGTTGCATACGGTAAAGAGATGTTCTTAAAATTCCAGGGTCGATTTATTAACTAATATCTTTGTGGTTTGAGTTTTAACAAGTTTTGAGTTATTGCGCATAAATGTTACAGGGTTTTCTTAGGCAAGGAATGCTCAAGAGTGCTTTTGCCAGTTCCTTCCTCTGAAATACAGCCTATAGCTCCTGGTATTTGTTGATGGTCTCCTAGCCAAGTACTAGCCAAGGCTGACCCTGCTTAATTTCCAAGATCAAACCTCTTAGGATAAAATCAGAAATTTGATATGCCCAGAAAATTCACAGCAACCCAATTTAATGTTATTTTCAGCATTTTGTGCCAAAAATAATAGTGATTAATAAATTAATAATGTATTTTTTGTTGGTAAGAGAAGGACCTCCAATGTAAATTTGGACTTCTTAGGAAGACAGAAGAAAACCCTTTCCCCCTTTTTTAACCTCCGAGGTCGAGAAAGGTTGGGTAGAAATGAAGTAAATAAATAAGAAGTAAATAAATGTCCCCATTGCTTCCCATGTCTATTCATAGTTCTGGTTGAGAAGTGTCACGAATAGTATCAGGAACCATTAGGTTGTAGACTTTGACTATATCTCATTCCTAGAGGAGATAGATTATTAAAGCAAGTGCATGGAGTAGATTAGTGATGTTTAGGATTAATCCTACATAATATTTTAAATTAGATTTTTAAAATTTTAAATATCCTCTGGAATAGCAAAAAAATAAGCTTGTCCCACTTTACCCATGATTACTCTTCATGGTTCAGAATGGTTATCACCTCTCAGTCTTCTCTAAATGGTTTCCATACTCTACCATCTTGGTTACTCCCCTCTGGAAACATTCCACCCCCTCAGTATCCTTGTAAAACAGCATTCTCATTTTGCAAAGGTTTATGCTAGACATGGACAACAATAAATCCTTCAGATTTATTTTGAAACTGCAGGGTCTATAATTCCTCATCATTAGCTATGTTGGCTAATGTAAATTGTGAGCCAAAAAAATCGCAACGGCAACTACCCCTACCTTATTTAGAATGTACTCTCTCTTCTTGGAAACCCGCCATATCTATATGCAAAATCATAGTTCTCCAAATTATTAAGCTGTATCTATGCACTAGAAGAACAAGAGTAGCTAGATCTGTTTTTCTCAACCTGGGGGTCGGGATCCCTGGGGAGGTCACGAGGGGGGTGTCAGAGGTGTCACCAAAGACCATCAGCAAACACATATTTCTGATGGTCTTAGGAACCAAGTATGGTCCTGATCCAGCATTGTTTGAGTCCACAGTGCTCTCTGGATGTTGTGAACTACAATTCCAAAACTCAAGATCAATGCCCACTAAACTCTTCCAGTATTTTTTGTTGGTTATGAGAGTTCCGTGTGCCAAGTTTGGTTTAATTCCATTGTTGGTGGAGTTCAGAATGCTCTTTGATTGTAGGTGAACTATAAATCCCAGCAACTGCAACTCTCAAATGACAAAATCACACACACCCAACCCCACCAGGATTCAAATTTGGGCGTATTGAATCCTGTGCACAATTCAGTCTAGTCAATTTAGTCTAGTGCACAATTTAGTCTAGTGAATTTAGTCTAGTGAATGAAAATGCATGATTATGCAGGATTAAGAGGGCTTTGCTCTCAAACAAAGGCATCCTAAGCATTTAACATAAATAAAATAAATACTCAACATGAAATATATTCTTCACAGTATTCTTCACAACATGAAATATATTTTGCATATCAGATAGTTACATTACGATTAATAACAGGAGCAAAATTAGAGTTATGAAGCAACAGAAATAATGTTATGGTTGGGGGTCACCACAACATGAGGAACTGTATTAAGTGGTTGCAGCATTAGGAAGGTTGAGAACCACTGAACTAGATGAAGATGTGACCTCATTTGGTACTGCATCTGGTTCAGTGTTGGTGAAAATATAGTTATCGGTTACTGTCTGGAAAGGGGAATATGTACAGAGACACTACATAATCATAAACACTGTTCGTAATAATGATGGCAATATTATTATCCTTTAAAACTTGCTTCCTGGCAAAACCTAGGCCCAGGAGCCATGTCTTTTACTTCTGCTTCCTATTCTGTTCTGCTCTCTCAAACCTCCAAAGTAGCAACAATAATGAGTATATTAATCTAAATGTATGATTTAATAAGACAAGAATTTTCCCCTCAAGATAGCTTTACATTTATTGATCAGAGTTTACATTTTGCCCCAATTTGTACAAAATTAATTCCTGACAGCGTTTAATGGTTTGAACCTCTTTATTTTCACATGCTTGTTAATGTAAAATGAGTAACATTAACTAAGTTGTTAAAGAAATGTTGAAGTACACAAAGGGAAGAATGAATACTTATAATAAATTATACATTTTGCATCAATAATGTAATATCTTAAATGAATGGCATTAAATGGGAGAACTGTATTTTTTAAATGAAAACTGTGACTGAACGTAATCTTGGATTGATTCCTTTTAAGAATTTTTTTCTTTTAACTCCACGATGAACTAAAAATAATCATAATTTTATTTAACAGTATGTATTTTTCAGCCAGTTTAATTTAGAAAAAACTATTCACCAATGTCTCTGAGTATGTTCCTTCTAAAAATGTGTTACCCCCAATAACATTAAAAACCAACCATATTTTTTCATATATGAGGCTAAATATATCAGAAACCCAAGGAAGATTTTACCACTTACTGATATGGTAGAAAGTAAAGAAGTACAGTATATTTAAAAACACCACTTGGTAAAGGTTAAACTGTATTGTGCATACCTAAAGTTAATGAAAGTCTGGAGTTTAATTATTTATATCACTGTTTAAATCACTATTGAAGAAGATTCCATTTAATCAACATTTTAAAAGTAGTAGTAGTAGTAGTAGTAGTACAGTCAGCCTTTCACATTCATTGAGGTTACAGAACCCCCATTAAAGTGAAAATATGAAAATGAAAATGGCTATACTTTAACATGAGAGAACATCTCTCTAGGAAGTTCTTGGTCCTCCAGCATCATTCTATGATCAACTTACAGAGGAGGAACTAGGACTTCATTGGGTTTTTTTTTTCGTGTCGGGAGTGACTTGAAAAACTGCAAGTTGCTTCTAGTGTGAGAGAATTTGCCATCTGTAAGGATGTTACCCAGGGAAGCCCGGATGTTTTACCTTTCTGTGGGAGGCTTCTCTCATGTCCCTGAATGAGAGGCTAGAGCTGACAGATGGGAGCTCACCCTGCGCCCTGGAGTCGAACCTCTGAATTTTCACTCAGCAGTCCTGCTGGCACAAGAGTTTAACCAATTGCACCACCAGGGGTTCAACTTCATTGCATGGGGCTGGAGAAAACAGAGGAAAGTGTGGGAAATTGTCTACTTTGCAAGTGGAATGTTCTTTGTGTTGCATTCTGTCTTTAAAGAAGATGGAGATTTTTCTTACCCCCATCCCAGGGGATCGCATCCTCCCAGCTCAACAATCCACTTAGAGGAAACAGAAGGTATCATTCTTAAGACAAATACTGTTTCTTTCTATGAGCCCATTTGCTTTCTCTCCCGATCTCCTTACTTTCAGGGAGACAGGAGGCATCGTTCTTAAGACAGGCACCATTTCTTTCCACAAGTCCCTTTGCTTTTTCTTCCCAATTGCCTTACTCTCAAGGAGACAGGAGGCATTGTTCTTAAGACAGATTTGGAAAGAGAAATGGAACATCAATGCTTGGTAGAAGACTGCCCAGAGGAACGTGCATTACTCTGCATCACTGAAGCCATTCAATATGGGCAAATTTGATAGATCCCATCCAAGTGTTTTTCCCTGAGTAGTCACCTGTGAATTCGCACATACCCCCCCTCCTCCCCTCGGGTGTCATGCCACACCTTCTGGCTGCTGTGCGGCGGAAGAGGAATGGCGGTTGGCCCCTCCTAGGGGTCTTATATACTTGAGAGGGGGGGCGGGGCCAGGAGGGGGATACAGTATTTTTAAGCTTCTAGAAGGTTCCGAAGTTGGCCTGCGCAGGCGCAGGAATTCCACAATGTGCGAATTCACAGGTGACTACTCAGGAAACTACGGTTACAGGTAAGCAACCTCTCATTTGAATCACATTTTGTTTACACATGCTCTTATTTCATTGCTGCTGTTTTTTAAATAGTTGCTGATTTTGTCATTATAGTCAATGATAAATGGGAGTTTTCAGAGTGTTGTTCTTTATTTATTGTCCTGATTTCAGAGTTGTTTTAAAATACTGGTAGCCAGATTTTGTTCATTTTCATTGTTTCCTCTCTTCTGTTAAAATTGTCCACATGCTTGTGGATTTCAATGGTTTCTCTGTGTAGTCTGACATGGTAGTTGTTAGAGTGGTTCAGCATTTTGGTGTTCTCAAATAATATGTTGTGCCCAGGTTGCTTCATCAGGTGCTCTGCTATTGCTGACTTCTCTGGCTGAGTTAGTCTGCAGTGCCTTTCATGTTCCTTGATTCATGTTTGGGCAATGCTGCGTTTGGTGATCCCTATGTAGACTTGTCCACAGCTGCATGGTATACAGTAGACTCCTGCAGAGGCGATAGGATCTCTCTTGTCCTTTGCTGAACGTAGCATTTGTTGGATTTTCTTGGTGGGTCTGTAGATTGTTGTAGGTTGTGTTTCTTCATCAGCTTTCCTATGCAGTCAGTGCTTCCCTTGATGTATTGTAGAACACTTTTCCTCTGGGTGGATCTTTGACTTTACTCTCGTGGCTTGTTCTTGGCCTTGCAGCTCTTCTGATGTCTGAGGTGGAGTATCCGTTGGCCTGTAGAAGCCAGTTTAGGTGGTTCAGTTCACCTTGGAGGAGGTGGGGTTCGCAAATGCTTTTGGCATGGTCTGCCAGGGTTTAAATTGTGCTTCTTTTTTTGACTTAAGTGATGGTTGGAGTTTTTATGTAGGTATCTGCATGTAGGTTTTCTGTAAACAGTGTGGTCCAATTGTTGATCTGGTTTGTGGATGACTAGGACATCTAGAAAAGGCAGTTTCCCTTCATTTTCTTTTTCCATGGAATTGGATGTTTGGGTGGATGCTGTTGAGGTGTTCCAGGAACTTGTTTAGTTCTTCTTCTGCATGTCTCCAAATGGTGAAGGTGTAATCCACATGACTTGGAAATATTGCTGCACAAAATAGCAAGCAAAAAAAGACTGCTACTAACAATCATCAACCAATCTGAGAAAGATCATTTATTCCATCCCTTCTCAAAAAAAAAAAATTGAGAAATTGAGCTCTATTTGGGGGGGGGGGGGCAAATAATTGCTGTCTGGCTTCATATTTAGCTAGAACAAAACTTTTTTCAATCAACCCGACTTTCTTTTCCTCAGTCATTCTATGATTCTATAGAATCTTGAAGAAATTTGTAACAATATAAATATAGATATAGCTCACATAGCTAAAAGTAGATGGAAAACAAAACAATGGTACTGACTAAACATCAGTAAAATGTCGTGCTGAAAAGCTTTTTAAAAATTCACTAATCTCTGTGTATATGCCATCTACTGCTTTGCTATTTGCTGTTCTGTGTAATATATCCCAGCTTTTATAGACATTTTCTGCTTCCTCAGCTTATTTCTTCTTTTTGATAATGTTCAGTCACTTTTCTTCAAGTTCTTTAAGTTCGATCAATCATTTTGACAGTAATAACATTAACTGTGGTATTTTGCACTATTCTTGGAATGGAGACTTGGCCTCATTTGATTGCATGGAGTGGAAGGGAAGATGAAAAGATGGAGAGGGAAAGATGAGTTGAAACATTTGGTCAACATTTAGCACAGTGTTTTAGGATTTGCCTGCTGTGAGCATAGTGTTACATTTGTTAAATGTTCAAAGAAATCATTCCAAAAGTCATTTCTAATCTTCTCGCACCTCATTGCAACATTATTTAGGGTAAAAGCTTAGTAAGCAGTTGATGGCGCATTATTCAAAATTTATTTGTAGCATTATGTCTTATGTCTTCCTTCTGCTTATGCCTTTTGCTTTTCTGTTCTGTAGAGAGTTACAAGATTTCTATCAAGGAGGAAATCACACCAGCCAGCTGGATCATGTTAAACCTATGAATACTTCATAAAAATATATTCGTTACTTATTATATTTGTTAACTACTTTCCTAGTTAAAAATAACCCATGAGTCTTCAAACAGTCACAAAAACTTCAGGAATTACTATAGTTGGAGACACTAAAAAGAATTTTAGTATCTCAGAGAAGATAAACACATGCATTAAAAACATAAAATTAAAAAGCAATATAAACATTAAAATATTTTCTGGCAGGAGAAGAAAGAAATTTGGTCTCCTATTTATTATTTACTTGCTTGGGTACTCGGTGATGCCTGGGTTCTTTGAAAAGGGCCCTGTTTGTTTTGGGGTATTAAGTCATATCATTTATCACTTCATCACACTAGAGAATGAATCCACTTAAAATCTGGTTTCTGCCTCCTGCAGAATTCTGGGGTTTGTAGTTTAGTGAGGCTGTTAAAGGCTCCTCCCTAAACTACAAACCCCAGAATTCTGCAAGAGACAGTAACCGGATTTTAAGTGGATTCATTCTCTAGTGTGATGAAGCTCTTAGTTTATTAGTAACACTATTTATTAGAAAAAAGGCAGTCTGCTGATCAATTCCTGTTTGCTGTGTGCCCAAGGAATCCTGGGATGTCCATTCTGGGGAGAAAAACAGAAAAAACTAGGAGGAAATTGTTCCTGAATGAAAACCTTCAATTGGGGGGGGGGGGGGGGGCAGTATGGTGTTTGGGGAGGACATTGGCTGGGTTTGGGTTATATGTTCATGGCACCTGCTGTAACCTGAGATGTCCTTGAAGGGAGGGTCATTGGTGGCTCTTCAGCACTGTGGGTTATAGCTGTTTGTGGAAGCAGTCGGCTGTCAGTGTAAGTCAGTAGTTCTCAATTTGTGGGTCTCCAGATTTTTGGACTTCCAACTCCTAGATATCCTAACAGCTGGTAAACTGGCTGGGATTTCTGGGAGTTTTAGGCCAAAACACCTGGGGACCGAACAGGTTTGAGAACCACTGGTGTAAGTGGTGACCTCTGTCACATACACATTTCCACTGTGTATAGATTTATTTACAGTATTTAAATCCCACCCTTCTCACCCTGAAGGGGACTCAGAGCAGCCTTACAATAGGCAATAATTTGATGCCATAACAAACAGACGCAATATAATAAACACATACATTAAAAACATAAAATTAAAAAACAATATAAACATTAAACCCATTAATTAAACCACGGAATCCCCAATCATAGTCAAAACCATTCCAGTTGTTATTACACATATTCCATCTTCACTTATTGCATTGCAGTACTGGCCAAAGCCTTTGTCCCAGAGCCATGTTTTTACTTTCTTTCTGTAGGTCAGGGGGGAGTTCAGTAGCGAGGGGCCACCACTGAGAAGGCCCTGTCTCTCGTCCCCACCAACCGCATCTGTGAAGGAGGTGGCACCGAGAGCAGGGCCTCCCCAGACGATCTTAACCTCTAAGATGGTTCATAGAGGGAGATGTGTTTGGATAGAAGGGCGATCCATAAGTGGCCACCTAAATATACAGATCTTGAGAAATTGCCTTGCGAAAATGTCTGGCTGCAATTAAATAGTTCCAAGAATACCCCCAAAGTAGTTCATTGCATCTGTAGTTAATATTTTCTCAAAAGCTCTTAAAATAGTTACTTAAAGTTATTTAAAACAGGGAAAACAATGGAAAACACTGTTGTTGAAAAGAGTTCATTAATAACGAAAATTCCATGCTGAATTTGCACATTCTTGTTCTCTTCCAGCTTGGATCCTCATCATCTGTGCCTTTCTCATCAATATTCTCACAGCTGTTCATGACTGTTGTTGTTCCACTCATAATTGGACAGGTATGTTTTTAAGATATATATTTCTAATATTTCAGTATCTTGTCAGTGGAAAAGGAATCTGTCCCTTTGGAAGACGTCTCTTGATAGAGAAGTTTAATAATAAGGAGATGACACCATACTTCTCCCTGAAGCCACATTATTTTTGTTGAGACTGAGCAACTGTCCCTCACTCCTATCAAACAGGTTTTTACATATCAAAAACAGAGTTTTGAACATAAATTAGAAAAGAAAAAGATATCCCAGATTCAAAGAGAGAAAAATGAGCTTGCTTTAAACAGTGAAAACATCAGAAAGGTATATGTGTGTGCTGTTTTTGAAAGGCCTCTTCCATTTTTTTTCAAGTATAGTCTCTAATTTAAAATATTCACATTCAAAATATGGCTCTTATTAATCTTCCATTTGACACTGAAAAGCCCGTGAGCTAAGTAAAGGTATATACATTCTAGATAAAACTACCTTGAGTCCCTATGTCAAGAGAAATAACTGATATAAATAATATCCAACCTTTTCCACACAACTAGCCTTCCAAAAAGGGTACACAGAAAGCTGGACAACCCTTCTGTCAGTGGAGTAGACTTTTATGCTGGGTGGGGAATGTGCTAAAGGATCCCTGAAATTTATGGAAGGTGCTACTACTTAATTTGGGGATCCTCCTTTACTTCTACACCAAATTCTTCCCAAATAGAGAGGAATTTATCTAAAACCAGGAACCTTCAAATCTTTGTGTAGCATTTTGTGAGGCCCAGAGAAGCTGCTTTGAGAAGGATAGGGTGGTAGAGTAGGAATAGGTCATTGTGTTGCTGTGAGTTTTCCGGGATGTATGGCCACATTTCAAAAGCGTTATCTCCTGACATTTCGTCCACATCTATGGCAGGCATCCCCAGAGGTTGAGAGGTCTGTTGGAAACTAGGCAAGTGAGGTTTATATATCTGCAGAACATCCCAGGTGAGAGAAAGAACTTTTGTCTGCTTCGAAACAAGTGTGAATGTTGCAATTGGCCACCTTGATTAGCATTTAAGTGCCTTGCAGTTTCAAAGCCTGGCTGATTGCTGCTTGGGGGAATCTTTTAGTTGGCCCTGGTTAATTCTTTTCTGGATTTCCCCTACTTTTTGAGTGTTGCACTTTATTTACTGTCCTGATTTTAGAGGGTTTTTTAAAAAACAAAAACAAAACCTGATAGCCAGAATTTGTTCATTTTCATGGTTTCCTCTCTTCTGTTGAAATTGTCCACATGCTTGTGGATTTCAGTGGCTTCTCTGTGTAGTCTGACATGGTAGTTGTTAGAGTGGTCCAGCATTTCTGTGTTCTCAAATAATATGCTGCAACCAGGTTGGTTTATCAGGTACTCTGCTATGGCTTGACTTCTCTGGTTGAATTAGTCTGCAAACCTTTCATGTTCCTTGATCTGTTTTCTTAGTGCTGAGAGGGCAGAATTTTGTTTTACAGAATATTTAATGTGTTATTTTAAAGCCTTCCCAATACAGATTAGGAAACTAGTACTGAAAACCAGCATGAAAAGTTGGCTTTAGAGCACGATTGAACAAGCTCTAATTTTTCCCATTCCCAAGACCCCTGGGAGTAGCACCAACATGGAAGTGACCAGCACTTGGAGAGGGTTGATCCATATTTGTTTTTGGGGGAGGGGAGGAATCATGCATGTTGGCTAAAACAAAGTGTATGGTGCCACCTTATTTTATAGGAGCATCCATCCCCAACAGGCACAGTGCTTCACTTTTTTTTAAGAAAAAAGATACCTCAAAATGGCCTGGAGGACAGACAAGTCTTCTTTTGAGAGACACAAAAAGTCCCTTTAGGAAGAGACTGAAAAAGCCAAAAATAAAAATAAATTACAACACATATGCAAAACCACATATATACACATATACACAAATACACACACACACAATGTAATTCTTGGGTGTGTCCCTCCTCCTATCCATACCTGCCTGAGCACTGGAGTCTGCTGATAAAGCCTTCTGGAGCAATGCATTATATGGAGACACAAGAAAAGGCTACCTCTTGTGTAGCATCTCAACTCTTGTATATATCTCCCATCTGAAATCTTGAATCCTGCCAGTGTCAGCCTCATTTTTGATGCCAAGTTTTAGCCTGAACATTTAGGGCCCTATAGCTTGCCTCTGACTTGGTGAAATTTTGTCTTCTGATCCATGTTATTCTGCTGAATTGCTTCAAATAGGGTGGGGTAGAAATAGTTTGATAAATAAATAATTGCCCAGGCAGTCAGTTGCCATTCCTTGTCTCCTTGTGCTACCTTGGAATTTCCATTTTCGTTATTGTTGTGTAGTAAGGCTTTAGACAGATTTCAATCTAAGTTAAAGTGTAAGTTATCCGTACTAGTTAGTTGAGTAAGGAAGGTAAGAATGTACACATGGATCTGGGTACACAAACACAGTTTTTTCTAGTTAGATAAGTGTGCACCATTGGTTTAGGGGAGTGGTTTCCAAACTGTGGTATGTAGACGACCAGTGGTCTTCAAGAACTAAAATATGGTCCGCAGCTTCACTGTTACTACAACGTTGCAACGAGATTGACTGGTCTCACAAAACCCTCTTATAGTGGTGAGGCAACGGCAATATAAGGAGGGAGACTGACTACCCACAAAAGGTGTGACAACAAGCCTCCTAACTCCTGCTTCTCCTCCTTCCCCCTCCCCTGAGCGGAGCCGTTCCATGTGGCGCCTGGAAGCGGGGGCACCTTGGTGTCTTTGTTTTTAGGCCTGTTCCTGAGGTTATTTGGGGTGCTGATTCAGAAAATGGCACTGGATAGACCACATCAGCTCGAGATTATTAAATATGACTTTCTGTGGGCGAGCAGATGGTGACTATTGGATGGCATATGTTCTGTATCAGAAACTACAGCTGATGTGGTCTATCCAATGCAATATTCTGAATCAGTATCCCAAATAACCAAACCAAATCTAAACTTGACCAAAAATTGATTCATAACCCTTTTGGTACTAATGTTGGAGAGTGGTAAAACTGGTAAAAAAAAAAACTGGTTCCTGGTAAAACTTGTCCCTAGTAAAAAATGTTGGACACCACTGGTTTAGGGATTAATAAATGGCTGTTTGACTTATTTTTTTTATCCAACCCAATCTAATTCCATGTACTCTTGACTGGGAGATGACTTCTAGGATTTCAAATAAGAGTCTATCACGGCCCTATTTCAAGGTGCCAATTGGTAAACCAAATCTGTTAAGGTGTTTTGATACCTGAGATATAACTCATGCTACTATGTTAACTCTCAGACGTCCCATCTGGCAAATAGTTTTGTGCTTTTTCTGATTTTGGGAACAATTTTTTATAGAGAGTGAAAAATATTTAAAATAACCCTTCCTGTTTTGGCTCAGCACTAGATAAATTACAGCATGGAAATTCTTTAAAAATATTCACATAAGGGAGGCTTTGCTGTAGATTTGTTTTAATTTTTTATATTGTTTCAGCGCAGGATAGATCTAGGTTACACTGTGTTAGTTGATGATTGTTGATGCCATTTATTCATGAGCGAACAGAGATGTGTGGGGATAATTTTTTTCAGTTCGTACCTTGGGTGGCAAAATAATACTGGTTTCATGCATCTCTAAGTCACATTGCCTTATTTTATAAAAATATTGTGAGTCTGGACAAAGATTGTGATCTCCTTGTTTGCATTGTCTCCTTTTAACGGGGAAGTGACAGGTTACAGAAAAACGAATAGCACGGCAAGATTTCTCTTCCCTTTTCTGCTGTCCTTCTCCTTTCTCTAGACTTAAGTGCTTCTGACAGACTTTTATTTTATGTTTTATTTTAAAGAGTGATTTATGATTAAAACTTAATGAAATAGAATTTTCACAGTGCTTTTATTATATTCTACCAGTTTGAACATATTTCAAAGCAGCACACCAAAACCCACTGTTCTCTATGAATAAATAATAAAAGCCATGGCTGTACATTATCATTCATGCATTCTCTAGTTGTCCATTGGTGATTTTTTTGCCATCCTGAAGTGGATGCCTTATAGTAAATGGTCCTTAACTAGAACCGAAATTACTTATTACAGTCGTACTCATTTAAAATATAAATATTCAGGCAGAACAACCAAGTTAAACTGTGCTGATTGGAAAGGAAAACAGATTCACCACCCAGTCATAAGTTCATTGAGCTGTTCTATGCAGATACAACATTTCTGCAAATGGACCGTGGAAGTAAATTTTATGAGTGTCCTATGGGGAATCTGCCCCATGGATTAACCCCCAAGTTGGAAAGCAGTCAGCATTAAATGCGTATATGGAAAAGTTATTTTTAAGGTGGTATGATGTCACTTAATGGCTACCATGGAAGCTAGAAGTCATGTGTGAGTTTCTGTGTTGACATAAGGGGTGCTGTTATAACATTCTCAAAATTAGTCATTATTACACTTATAATACACTTCAAAGCCCTGATAGGTATTACTCATGATCCCCATTACATTGTTTGTACATCCTCTGGGGATTCCATAACACATTTTTGTCATTGCAGCGCAACCACCATTTGGGCAAATTCTGCAATGACAAAAGATCAGCTATAAATGCCACTTTTTCAGAGTCATTTCTTCATTTTCCATTCTCTCTTGAGAAGGGAAAGGAATGTATACATTCTTGAAGGGAAATTAAATACATCGAATATCAGAATTAAGGATAGTGGTGTGTGCACATGTAGTTGTGAATACATACCATTTAACTCAATGAGATTGCTTTTGACTATAGATGTGTAGGATTACTATTAATATCAGCTCTATTTAAGCATTTTGTGTTTGTGCAGTTAGAATTATAAGAAGATAAGAACAGATGTCTCCATCGCCCTACTCTGCTATTCCACAGGAAGGAGGAGAACCTACAATAAAATATGTAGGCCAAAGCCAGGGCAAATCATTCTTTGGGGGCTATGACTCTAACCAAGAATTTTAAATTCCTGATGGCTACTAGAATTATACTCCAAAAAGTTCTGTTGTAACCTTCCCAC